TTTTTTTTTTTTTTTTTTTTTTTGCGGTACGCGGGCCTCTCAGTGTTGTGGCCTCTCCCGCCGCGGGGCACAGGCTCCGGATGCACAGGCTCAGCGGCCATGGCCCACGGGCCCAGCCGCTCCGCAGCACACGGGATCCTCCCAGACCGCGGCACGAACCCGCATCCCCTGCACCGGCAGGCGGACTCTCAACCACTGCGCCACCAGGGAAGCCCCCACAGTGCATGTTCTTAACTACCATACCCAACTGCGAGCTCAAGAAGTGGCACTCTATATAGTGCTTTAACAACCAAGCTCTTGACCTAGTCCAAAAGTTTTGGAATCTGGAACGGGCAAAGGGACCAAGGGGAGGGTGAGTTCTGAAGAGGCTTCTTTAGGCTATATTCCCTTCACGCTCATCCCCCACTCTGGAAGCCATCAGTGAAAACAGAGGATTCTCTACACCACCAAGAAAACAGAAGAGTCTCTTATAATCTCTCCACCATGATAGTTCCCAGGGGTGGCCAATTCCATCATAAAAATCAATTTAAGTGTTTCTGAAAGATGGCAAGCCATGTCCCATGGATATCCTCCTCTCATGGTGGTCTGTGCACCACCATCTGGTCATCTGATGTCAAATATTACAGACTTAACCCAAATCAGACCTTGATTTCTGAGGTCGCATTTAATACTGCCACAAGATCCACATTATTTACAAATAAATCAACAAATAGTTCAAATTCAGATGGGAATCTATAAGTCTAAGAGCAAGTTTCCAGAACCTTTTTTAGGGAGTAGAGGAGTTGGAGGAGCCATTCAAAACAAGTAATTTTTTATATCACTTTATTTCATATACATGTGATATAATCAAAGCTTACCACTGATTCCACTGCCAACTTCAAGGGTTTTGGATAAACGAAAGCACAATTGAGAGAGTGGAGAATCAGGCTATTTAGAGACTCTCCAACGTTAAATCTTTCAGGATCAGATCCCTGGCACAAAGCCAGGCAAACAAAAGGTACAAACTGACTCACTGGACTAAAAACCCACCCTTCATTAGCCGCAGAGGAAGAATGATGTTTTAAAGTGGTACAGTTATTATTTGGGCTGTGAACAAATACCTCCCCATTAACAGTCCCTCAGAATACTAGTCTGAAAAACCTTGGTGTTACCAAGGAATTTCATTAAATCTGGTGGGGGGTTTTTTGTTAAAAATAATAAAATCATTGTCTTCAATAAAGTGTTGGTTGATACAAGGGAAAAACCAAGAATGCCTTCCCTCTCTTTTGGTTTACACCCTAGGTGAAGGCATGAAAACACAGTCAGCTACAATGCACTCGTGGTTTATTTACAGAGAAACATTCTGGCAAAATTAGCATAACTGGTTAAGTGTTACTTATTTGGAAATCCTGGTGTAGCAGTAATTTAAAAAGAAAAAAACTGCTTTACCAGTTTAAAGAAGTCACGTCAAATTTTCATTTTGAATAAAATTTCAATTGACACAGACAACTTGAGCTGGACTATTAAAACAACCAAACAGCAGAGGAGACATTTAATGAATAAACTCCCCTGTTAACACTTTGTCTACATGGATTTTTCCAGAGGTACTGTGTTCTGGCTACATGAGGCTGGCTTTGTTTCTTTCAATAAATTAGAGAAGGGCAAAAGGTGGGGAGGGGAATGTGACAATCACACTTAATCCACACCAGGCCGCCATATGTCACTTTTGTCCTTTGCTGGTTCATTGATTATTCATGAATTCACTACCTGAAAAATGCTATATTTATCTTTACAGCCACAAAGCTGTCAATTCAGTTCCAAGTATGCCTGCCTTTGTTTTCAGTGAAATGCACACTTTGGGAGAAGGCGGCCTTTTGTATGACACTGCCCTATGCTATAAAACAGGTATAAAAAAAAAATCTGATATAATATAGGTGAGTTTCAATGTTGATACTGACCTGAACATTGTTATTATTTTGTAATGACTGTTAGATCAAAAGAAAATGAAGCAGTCTCGGCTTTTAGAGCCTTTGGCCTCTCAAGATTTCCAGAGAGGCCCTAAATCCTACTCCCTACTGTATTTTGTTATCAATGGTCTTACTGTTTCCATTTCTTTTCTTCTTTTATACCTGCTTGTTTCTGGTAAGTATCCTCTGCTATTATGTTACCTGCTCAAAGCTACCTGAGTTCCAACCACTGCTTCTCTGGGATGCATTACATCAGTTCTAGCTCAGAATCTGCCTGAAAGTTTCCTTTTCCCACATACAGTCATTGCCTTGAAGGATTCCACAGGTCATTTAAATTCCAACTTGTTTGCCAGCACATAGAGGAGACATACTTTTAGAAAGGCAAAGAGACACTCAGCTTTCAACACTACCTACCAGACAAGAAGACGGGGAAGATAAGCTTGCCTAAAGACATTTTAAATGCTTCCCTGATGGCTTCAAGCTTAAAAGTACTACCACAAATCCATCATCTTTGTCCTGAGGGAGAAAGTCAGAGGGAGAAAATAGATTAAAACTATACTTGCATCCTAAAAATTCTGTGAACAGCTTGAAGGATAAAAAAGCAAAGTGAAATCTACACTCCCAAATTACTGTCATTTTAAAGTTTTGTGATAAAAGCCAAAAATGTAAATTGAATTTAATTTTCCCTAGGTGTGCTCAACAACAATTTTGACATGAAATGTCAAACATGTGATAAAGGTTCTTTAACAGTTAGTGACTGAGGGTAAAGACCTAATCCAAAGAGAAAAACAGCACTTCATAAATAGTTCCAACAGATCGTGCATTCTTCCATGTTTTATTTCAATTAATCTTTTGAGGATACCTAAAAGTCTCTTTCTAATTCAAGAATGTGATTAAGACCTGCACCTCCATTAACAGGAAAATGAGGCAGAAGGAGCCTTAATACTTCAGAACTCCAATATGATGTAAGACTAAGTCATCAAATTCCTAACATGATTAACTTATGAGATCAATGTTCATGTCTAAAAAAGCAAAAGAAAAAAAAGATTCAAACACAGCTTGACTGTTTTCATGTTTTAAAAAATAATTTAATCACAGAGATTTATTCATGTTAGTGCCTAATTGTTTTATAGGACTGTCTACCTTCAGAAGCCCCTAACCTGTTTGTTCTTTACCAAATGCATCACTCCTTGTTCAGTCATCCAGGATCGAAACCTGGGCCTCTTCTGTCACCCTGCTTTCATTAGTCAGGATTAAGTTCAACCACATACAACGTGAGCAAAAACAAACAATCAGACAAAGCCATCAGCTTACACAAGACAAAAAGTAATTGTATTCTGACAAAAAAAGACGCCCAGATGTAGTCAGGCCAGTGTATTCTAGTTCACAGCGCCGGGCCCTTTCCCTCTTGATGACGTGCCGTTCTCAGCATGTGCCCTACCCTTCAAGGTGCAAGATGGCTGCTTGAGTGCCTGCTATCGCATGCCCCTAACAGCCAGTAGGAAAGAGGGGAAGGAGGGCTCAATCCTTTCAATAACACTTTCTAGAAGTTCCACACAGCACTTCCATTTTCATCTCACTAGGCTGAATTTAGTGATAGTCACATCTAGCTACAAAAAGACTTGAAAATGCAATCTTTTCATTGGGCAACAATATATCCAACTGAAAATTAGGGTTCTGTTATACAAAGAAAGAAGGAAATGTTTGCCAGAATGAGCACGGTCACAGTCTCCAGGATTCTTCTCTCTTACTCCCCACATCCAGTCCTCTCAGCTCACCACCGTTACTTAGCTAAGTCAACCCTATCAGCATGGTTGTAATTCACCTTATCATCATCTCTGCCTGAACTATAACATCCTAACTGATCTCCCTGAGCCAGGTGGAAATCAGCTATTCCATTTGGTCACAGAAACTAAAGAAAAGCGTGGGAAGAGACATGTGAGTGGGAGGCACCATCACTTCTCCTTCAGGCTCATACAAGCCACCCTGGCAAAGGAGGAACTCTGCTCTTCCATGCAAACGTATTAAGGTCCCTAGGGAAAGACAGAGAGACTGACTGCAATCTAGTGTCTGTGTGATTGTGGAGAATCTTGCTGGGGTTCAGTGGTTAGAGATGAGGGTCTTCACAGAGCAGGAAATCATCTGTACCTCAAAAAACACTTCTCCGTGGGCAGAATCAAAAAATTATCAACAGAATTCTATACTCAACACAAATATTTTCCACAAATGAAGGCAAAATAAATACTTTTGCAGACAAATAAAAGCTGACAGAATTCACTGAAAGCAGACTTGCACTATGAGAAATTTTTTTAATTGAAATATATTTGACATATAACATTGTGTAAATTTAAGGTGTACAACAACATGTTGATTTAATATTCATATTTGGAATACGACTGCCTTTGTAGCAATAATCAGTACCTCCATCACATTACATAATTATCATTTCTTTTTAGTGGTTGGAATAATTAAGTTGTCTCTTAGCAAGTTTGATGATTATAATACAATATTATCTATATTCTCTGTACTGCACATTAATTCTATAGGACTTATTTACTACTTGGTGCAAGTTTGTCACCTTAAACAACATCTGTCCTATCACCCCTACCTTCCATCCTCTGGTAACCACCATTTCACTGTTTTTATGAGTTTGGCTTTCCTAGATTCTTCGTATAAGTGATATCATATAGTATTTGTCTTTCTCTGACTTATCTCACTAGAAATATTAAAGTTCTTCCGGAAGAAGGAAAATATCAAATGGAAATTTGGAACTACAAAAATAGAGGCCTACAACGTAAAATACATGGCTAATTGTTAAGGACATTTTTGTCTCATTTTTAATCTTTTTAAAGGTTAATTGAAGTGACATCAGCAAGATGGCAGAATAGGAGTTTTCTACGGTCTTTTCCCCAAAGACCAATGATTAAGACGATCACCTACCGAGAAGAGTGCTTTTGTGCAACTGCAGAGTCCAGCAGAGAAGTTCCAGCACGCTACGGGAGCAAAAACAGCAGAGATTAGATGCAGTGAAGAAGGTAAAAGGAACATATTACCCCCTCCCCAAGGTGGTGCGGCTCAGTGCCTCTCGCCAACAATTTCTCCCACCAGGGAAAGTGAGAGCATGTGAGTGCGTGCCCAGCTCCCCCAGCTGTACAAGGTGCTGCCAAAGGGGCCCACTTCTTTCCTGCCCCATCCAGGGCACTGAGGTGAGCTGAACAACGACGGTCAGGGAGGGGCTGAGAGAACAGCTGCCAGAGCCGGGAATGGGTCAAAGGGACATGGATCCTATTAACCATTTCGAGGACAGCATCAGGAAGCCCACCCGAGTTGCTGGGGATACCTCCCCTGCACTTCCCCATCTGTGCACCTCACTCACACATACTCCCACCCAGTGGCAGGCTCCCCATGCGTACCCCCCTGCCCCACACTTCCAGTGAAGGGATGTGTTCAAAGCTCGGTATGCAAATAAAACTGTGTTTAAAGAGATGTAAATACAATGGAATGTTATTGAGCCATAAAAAAACAAGGAAATCCTAGCATTTGCAACAACCTGGACAAACCTGGAGGACATTATGCTAAGTGAGATAAGCCAGACAGAGAAACAAATATACTGCCTGATCCCACCAATATGGAGAATCTTAAAAGGAAGTTGAACGCACAGAAACCGAGTAGAAGGGTGGTTGCCAGGGGCTGGGGTGGGATGGGGAAATGGGGAGAGGTTGGTCAAAGGGTACAAATGTTTAGCTGTTAGATTAATAAATCCTGAGGATCTATGTACAGCATGACTACAGCAAACACAGCACAATGTACAGTATGGTGGCTATATTCTGGTATTATATAACTGAAATTTGCTAAAAGAGTCGATCTTAAGGGTTGTCACACACACACACACAAAAAGTGAGGTAATGGTTGTGTCAACTTGATTGTGGAAATACTTTCACAATCTATACAAATATCAAATCATCACGTTGTACACTTTAAATATGACAGTTTTGTCAATTATAAGGCTGGAAAAAATTGGCTGTTTAAAGCAAACTTGATAATAATAAAGTATGTGGGTTTATAACATGCAGAAATAAAATATATGATAAAAATAGCACAAGATGAGAGTGCAGAATGGAAGTATATTGTTGTAAGATTCTTGTGTGAAATGGTATATATATTACTTAAAGGTAAATTAATAAAGTTAGATATATAAACCCTAGAGTAACTACTAAAAATAATAAAACAAAAGGTATAGCTATCAGCCAATAATGGAGATAAAATGGAATCACAAAAAAAATACTCTATTAATCCAAAAGAAAGTAGAAAAACATGAAGAAAGAGGAACAAGTATGAGACACGTAGAAAACAGAGAGCAAGACGGCAGATTTAAACTTGATCATATTGAAAATAAATGTAAACTGTCTAAACACTATGCTTAAAAGGCAGAGATTATCATAATGGATAAAAGAAAAAAAGCAAGACTCAATGATATACCATCTGCAAGAATTAGTTGGTCAATGACACTAATGTTCCTAAGGTCTACAAAAATATAAAATAGCCTCTTCCCTATACCTGGGAAATTACTGGATAGTGCAGGAAGGAGGGCCCAGAAAGGTCCTCACTTCACAGTGGGTCAAGAAATTTTGCGTCAATAAAAAATTTCGCTGCCAGGGAGTGAACAAATGCAGAAAGTCAGAATTACGGATTCTGCCTTTCTGGCAGCCCTAACATAGAATGTGCTGAGAAGACAGACACTTTGGGTGAATTCAAGCCTCCCAGCCACATGGAGAATAACATTAATTTGAAAAGGCTGGGGGAGTCAGTTGTCCTAATTCATATCACACTGACCCCCTGAGGCTTCTGCAAAATCAAGCCCCCAATACCAATTAACTCTACAACAGTCATTGTGCAATGCGGAAAAACTTGGTGCTGTACCCAGTCAAGGATTACAACATTTGCAGGAGCTAACAGACATGTTGGCTACATCCTGGCAAGTAGGGCTATCAAACATGCACGTCAGCCTGCTGAGCAAGTCAGCCCAATAAAATAGGTAACCAGGCAATGGCCCAGCATTTTCCTCCTCTGTGAAGTAGAAGCAAGATATACATTTCACTCGGTCTCTTTCATAAATAGGAAGCTATGAGCAACTGCATTTTTTGCCATACAGGTAATTTCCCTGATAAGCATTACAAAGTGACAAAAAAAAATTTCTTAAGAGTTAGGGCAGGGCGGTTAGCACTACTGGATCAGCCTGAGCTTGAATTCCTGGAAAGTAGCAGACAACAACAGAATAGTTTCAAAATTTTACATAGCCTCTTAACACGGGTTGTGGTTTTTAAAGCCAATGAGCAAATACTGAGGAGGTGTGTCTTAAGGATAGTCAGAGCCGAGTGAGAGTAGACAGTCTTACAGTGGGTTGTTTTACCCAAGGATCTAGGTGACAAACATGGAGCCAGGATTCATAAGGGAAATCAAGGCAGCCAATGAAATAATCAGGTGATGAGGGAAGCGGGAAAGCCAAGTGGGTGACTTTTTCTGAGGAGCGGTATAAATGCTTGCATTCATTTTCTATGGCTATTGTAACAAATTACCACAAACTTAGTGGCCTAAAATAACACAAATTTATTATCTTACAGTTCTGTTAATCAGAAGTCTAACGCAGATCTCACTGGGCTAAGATACATCTTTTTGGGGGGCTATATGGAAGAATTTGTTTCTTTGCTTTTTCCATCTTGTAGAGGTCGTCCTCCTTCCTTGACTGGGGCCCCTCCCTCCAACTTCAAAGCTAGCAACAGCAGGCCTAGACCTTCTCACACTGCCATCTCTGGTTCTCTCTTCCAATTCCCTCTTCCACTTTTAGGGACCCATGATTACAGTGGGATCCCCAAATTAATCCAGGATAATCTCCATATTTTAAGGTCAGGTGAATAGCAATCTTAACTCCCCTTTACCATGTAACCTACCATATTCAGAGGTTCCAAGGTCTGAATGTGAACATACTGGCAGGGGTGGGGGGATGGCGACCACATTACTCTGCCTACCACAGCGCTGCCAGCAGCTTTCCATAGGGACGTCTCTACTGATTTCCATGAATAAAGCAATGCTGTTTAAAGAGGGGAAACAGCACAGATTCGGGGAAATACAGGTAGCCATTGTGATTCCAAGTCTGTGATTCTGTAGATCTTCAGGAAGAGGTGTGGACAAGGCTGCCAAGAAAGCATCAACAGTACTGCAGACTGGACTGGCTCTGTATAGAGCGGCTGGGAAACTTAGTGCCACTAAGAAGCACAAAGACACAAAAAAGGGGGGGGGGGGGGTTAGGAGAGGGTCAGGGTTTGAGTCCAAGATGTGGTACTAACTGCAAGATCTTACTTAGGCAAGTCACTTAACTGCTGTGTCCTACTTTTCTCTTCTGCAAAATGAAAAAGTTGATTTAAATTATCTTCTAAAGTCTCTTCCAAGTCAAAGTGCTATGATGTAATGTAATAGGGGAGAAAGGAAATAAAGAGACCAGAAGTTTACTCTCCTTAAATTTAAAACCAGGGCTTAGCATTTCATCTTCCCATGGGAATGGAGAATAGCAGACTTTTTTATTTTGAAGTCAAATAAATGATACCTTGTAAACACTAAGTATGTGGGAAAATCTGACTCTCTATAGCATCAGTTCTTAAATTTTTGACTAATCCATGTAAATTTAAAAAGCCAACAGACGACGTATTTTGATGATTCTAATAATTAAAATATATAAAATGATAATATTATACCATTAGGAAAAGAAAGAAAATCTTAGGTTAACCAATCTTTGGTGCTGGGGAGGAAGGATTGGGAACAGTGGAGGAACCAGTTCCTAGGAAGCAGGAAGTATCATTCAGGACAAATTATAAGTTATGAAACTGGTAACTAACATATTAATAAACACCTAGAACACAACCTTGAAAACAAAAAAAATAATCAAATGCCCAGTCTACATGATTTCAGAATACTAATTTTAAAAAGATAAAGTATTGAAATATCCTATGTAGTTTATCCTTATTACACAAGAATATTGCCCCATGATATGTGAATACTTACTGATTGTAGCAATTCTCAGGTATTCAATATAACTTAATGTCCAGAAACAATACCTAGGCTTTTTGCCAGAAAGAACTGATTATAATCATTAAAATCCTACACAAATGTACCAGAGGAATACAGAAAAGTATAAAGAATTACAGGTAACCTAAAAGTAAAGGAATATCTCCTCTAAAATAATAATCCAGATATCCACTTTTTGGCCTCAATTAACACTTACATAAATAATAGTAAGGTAGGCTTTGGGAATTCAGAAATAAATCTATCTGGGTAATTTATACAGTGAGGAGAGAGCTACAGGGTTTGTATATGACTGCCTGTTCTAAATGGTGAATGTGTAAAAGAAAGCTATGTGGAGCCAGCAGTCTAAGGACATCATAGCTGGAATCAGGGCTACAGTATTTACAGAGTGATCATGGGAGGAAAGTTGTGGTTCTGGTGACAATGAATTAAACATTTGGAAACCTAAGCCCCAGTCCCCATATTTTCTAAAGGCCTAGGTTTGCTCACCTGTAAAATAACAAGGTTCTAGTATTTGAGAGGATAACAGCTATTTTTCACATTTACTGAGGGCAAATATTAAGAAGCAGGCGTACACTGTCAAATGAACGCCTTACGATGGATAAGGGAATAATTTTACATTAGAAAGTTTTGTTAAATATTGCAACATGCCATCAAAAGAGCCTGTAAAATGATTTTTTGTTTAATAGTAAACTTTACTTCTAGAGCAGTTTTAGGTTCACAGGAAAGTTGGGCAGGAAGTACAGAGAGCTCCCATGTATCCCCTGCCCCCATACACACAGCCTTCCCCATTATCAACATCCTGAACCAGAGTGGGACACTGATTACAATCAATAAACCTACAGTGACACATTGTCATCATCCAAAGTCCATAGTTTGCATCAGGGTTCACTCTTGGCGTTAACATTCTATAGGT